CCCGTGACTCCGCCAAAGGATCTGGCGCTCCACCGGCGGATCACGGTAGGCTGGCCACCCTGTTGCCGACAGTTTAGGGGTAAATCCCAAAGTAGCTTCTGACTACGCCATTTCCTTAGTCTTCCCCAAACAGGATTGCTGGCTAACGTTAAGCACTGCGGTTTCAGGGCCATAAGCATTTTAAGAGGGGGAGGATTGAGAAAAGGCAGCAGAGCCCCAAACAGATATTGTGCCTGTCTTAATGGGAAGCCGTTGACAGAACTGGCCAAGGGCATGACGTAGGAGGGATGAAGTGGGTTTATTTCTGAAAGGGAGTACAGGGGACACGCCTGGGGGAGTGGGTTTTCTTGGGGGTTGGCTCACTTTTTCGGCCTGATGTACGTTAAGGTGGAAATAACACGTCACAACAAATCACAGACGTCCAGGATGGACTGTTGTATAACTGAACAGTAAGTTGTAGGGAGGGATGTGCCTTTTCAGAGTAGCTCCAGATGTCCAGCCGCAGGTGAGATAGCAAAATATTTCCTTTCTGTTCTTAGAGAGCAGCAACGACAGCAGCTGTTAAATATTGAAGTTACAGATTTTTTTTTTTTTAATGAAAAAGCAGTGTGTCCCTGTAGGGTTCAAGATGGGTCCTAGGTTAGGAAAAATTGAAGGCAATTGTTGTAACCTGTCTGACTGGTTCTGATCTAACTGTGTCCTCCTAGGCAGTCAACAGGGGGTCTTCAGCACATCCCATTTCAGTCCCAGTTGCTTCATCTCAGTGCCAAGACGGGTTTCTTTTCTTAAAATAACCACCACCTTGAACTCTGATTTTTAGAATAAAACAAATGTTCTTAAAGACAGAAACCTTAGGTTGGGGACGTTTCTACCTCTGTGCTGTGCAAGCATCAAAGTTAACTCCCTGTGTCCAAGAACATGTAAGGAGTAGAAATCTAACATAAAGATGGGGTGAAAACAGCATTCTCCAGATGCTGAATTCTATGCTAGATAATGGGAATTGATTTTTTGAAACGAAAAGTAAGTTAAACAAGATTAAAATTAAGTTTCATGGTAGTATGGAGGGGTTCCTCTCTAAGTTTATTCCCATAAAATGTGGTGTGATCAGCTGGACTGAGAGAGTCTCCGCAGGAGGTGTTGGGTCAAGTGGGGACCTGAATGTTTTCCATCCAAGTCAAACCATTGTTACCCCGGACTGTTGGAGAATGAAAAAGATTTACCTGGGTTTGCCCCCTCTTGCTTCCACGCAGGAGAGCTCTCCCTTGACGGAGGTCGCCGGAGACGCCGTGGCCCAGGTCTTCTTCCCTCTCGTGGGGGACGTCGGCCATCCAGCCTGGCCTTGAAATCGTCCTCGGAGGGGGAGTCTCAGAGCTTGGAGCAGTATTTGAAACAATCATTGCAAAGCTGGTTCCAGTCCGAGTTCCTGATGGACTACGACCCCCAGGGCAACCGTCTCTTCTGTATGATGTGTGGTTCCTCCTTGCCCAGCCTCAATCTGGATGATATTAAGCGTCATGTGATGGATGCCCACCCTACCTCCCTTGGCTTCAGTCCTGCCGAGAAGGGGGCAATCCTGGAGGCGTGGAACTCCCGGGCATTGGTGCTGGCAGCCGAGGGGAGAAATGCAGAGGACGCGGCAGTGGGTGAGACAAGTGGGGATGGGGTCAAACCAGCGTACCCAGGGCTGGCACAATGCTCCTGCAAAGCCCGTAAGATCTATTTTAAAATCAAGTGGAGCAATTGGTTGGCTTGGGCCTATGTCCCTGAGTTCACATTTCATACTAAATTACCCATAAAGGAATATAGACCTTGATAGGGAAGGAATTTATTTATTTATTACATTTTTATGTCCCCCATCTCCCCCAGAGGGTGACTGGAATGCGCAAGGGATCAAGGCAGGACCTGTAGAAAAGATTCCACAGTCCCGGGAAAGAGGGAAGGGTGAGAAAGAAACTGAAGATAACCCCGCCTTGATTTTGTTTAGCATAAGAGGGAACAGAAAGAAACTTGGACAGACATGCAAGATTGATCTCAGCCCTTTGAGGTAGGCCAGGTTAAGAGACAGGCATGGCAGAGCTGGTAGGAATGCCCTTTATTATAGAAAATGCCAGAACCTTGAAAGGGAAGGAAAATCTTGGCAGATTCCAGGAATTAAATTTGTTCTTTTTCTTCCTCCCATAACCCATCCAGAAACTGGCATGTCTGCCCAACAGGATCTGAACGTGAAAGAGCTGGACTCGTCTGCTTCCCCCGATCACCCCACTGGAGAGGATGGGATCGATGAGGCTGGTCCTTGGGATTCAGAAGAGAGCAGCCCTCGCACTCCAGCCCGTGGCAGGGACCACCGCCGGTACTTCCAGGAACATTGGAGAGTGGAGTATCTGATGGATTATAACGGGGTGCGCCACGGACTGGTGTGCATGGTCTGTGGGAGCACCTTGGCCACCCTCAAGATGAGCACCATCAAGAGGCACATCCAGCAGAAGCACCCAGACTCCACGCAACTTAGCCACCAGGTCAAGGCCCTGATTGTGCAGGAGTGGAACCAGAAAGTCGCTCGCCTGGCAGATGCTGAAGACTCCCAGCCGGAGACAGACGCTGAGGTGGACCAAGGTGAGGGACATGCGTGTGGGTGTGGTGTGGGTGAGATGACTAGGCTGGAACTCCACCGACTGGGTTCTAAGAAGGGCAGAAGAGGAACTGCCCATAAGAGGCAGGAGTTATGGTAGCTGGAGGTCCAGGGGGCATCAGGTTTGACTGTGGCCAGGGATGGACACTTGTGGGTGAGATCGGTGCTTGCAAACACCATGCGCGCCGGTGATTTATCTTTGAACGTTAGATGTTGGGAAATGAAATGAGAAGGGAAGTGCCTTCAGGGACTGCTTTATGGACTTAGGGGAGCATTTAACGTGGTGCAGAATAGGCCTGAGCATTTTATTAAGGGGTTGTTTTCTGCAGAAGAGAACATGCCCCCCAAATATAAAAAGACAGGGTGAGAAGGTCTGGCAAATAGTGGCCCCCGCTCTTGGAATACCCTTCCCCCAGAGGTGAGGCAGGCCCCAACTCTCTTGTCCTTCAGGAAAGCAGTGAAGACCTGGCTCTGCCAACTGGCATGGGGCGAGAAAAGGGGCAACCAACCCTGGGGGTGTCTAACACCTTGAAGATGCTCCTGTATGTTAATATCTTTTCAATCACCAGCATCTTGGAAGATATTATTATTTATGTAGGTGTTTGGTTTTATTATATTTTTATACTATGTTTATTGTATTTTAACTAATGTTTGTTTGTTTTTATTGTAAACCGCCCAGAGTCGCTTCCTCGTGAGATGGGTGGTGTCCAAATCTGAAATACAAATAAATAAATAAATATAACATTACCTTATTTAAGAGAAGGCCCTTCTGAATGGCGATTTGCCTTTAAAGCAAGTAAACACAGTGCAAAGTTTCAGATGGGGAACCCCTTCAGAGAGAAGGCAGCCCTGTTGTAAGAGAGCGGTTTTGTTCTGTCCAGTGGGAAAGACGACTAACGTAATGGTGGGGTGGATAAACCATAAGCGAAGTAGCGGAAGGGTTGCCCAGGGTCAAGACTGAGGGAGAAGGAATTATGCCGACTTTAATCTGTAATGCTGGTCTGGGGAGAAATCTTGGGAATTGTAAGAAGAATTTTTCATCCTTTGTTATACCCAGTTCGTTAAGGCTGAGTCTATTTGGATGATTTGAAAGGCTTCTTCCAGGGTTTCTTGCCACCTGGGCTGAGTTGCTGTTTTTAAGAGGAGCTGCCAACAGACTCACCTTCTGTCTCTTCACTGTTTGTGTCTGCTTCCTCTTCTGTTCTTTTCCCAGCCTCCCCACCATCTCTCACACGCAGGCCTCTGTCTCCTTTTAGTTGGCTTGTAGTCTCTTTTCTGAAACTGGGGATTGTTCTTTGAAAAGTGGGGCACATGACTGAGCTGAAAAGGGGATAAGCAGTAAGGTAGCCCAGTGTCAGCTGCTTGGCATAAAAATGCAATTTCCCATATCAAGCTCACCATCCCCCCTTCTTTCTTGCTTTCCAGCGGAATCACAGCCTGTTTACAAGCCACCTGCATCTCTCGAGGAACCTCCAGAGGATTTGGCAACTCCTAAGAGGGAGGAAGACGCCCCCGTAGCAGACAGGCTGGCCCCCCCGCAGCCGTCTCCAGGGGCCATATCCCCGCCAGCCGGCACCCTGTCTCAGCGGAGTCAGCGTCGAAACTACCAGCCCCGCTGGCGGGTGCAGTACCTGATGGACTACGATGAGCAGAAGCACGGTTTGATCTGCATGGTCTGCGGAGGCACGCTGGCAACCCTTAAAGTCAGCACGATCAAACGGCATATTCTCCAAGTGCATCGGTTCTCCCTGGAGTACACGGAGCTGGAGAAACAGACGATCCTCGAGGCTTACGGTGAAAACGACCGAGTTTCAAATCACAGGGAGCCAGGGCCAAAGGCGCCCGCTGTAGGCGTCGACTCTGAAACCCAGGATGTTAAGCCAAACGTTGAAGAGGCAGGGAAAATGGCGTTGGGTTACAAGCTGTCTGTGTGTGCGGTTTAGCCATGGATCTGAGCAGCTCTGGAGTTGGGAAAACGGTGAATGAGACAGTTTCTCTTTTCCTTACTTCTGCTGTGGACAGCAGAGATGCTTGGAAACGCTCAGTTTTTCGGAGATCTGCAACTGGAACAAAGAATGCAGAGGCCAAAAAAGTATTCTTTTCCTTCTTTTTCCAGAGCATCCATTCAATCTGCATGTTGTGTTTCAGCAGCAACAAGTTTTTAAGTTTCTTTTTCATCTTTCTGGGGCTCTGGGCTCCAAAGATTTTGACTCGGAAAAGTTTGGGGGGCTTACGGTACATTAAGGCGCCATAGAGCTGGAAAAAACAAAACTAAACTAAACAAAAAATAGACCACACCCCTTCAAGCAAGGATGTCAGGAATGGAAAAGGGAGGTAGACTTGTCCATCATCAGAAAAACTGCATCAGAACTTCATCAGAAAAGTAGCAGGCTTCTGAGCTGCTAAACCTTCACGCATGGAATTCCCGTATCCTGCTATTTTGCTTCAGGAAAGCACTTAATAGGCTTGTAGATGTGATTTATTTTTTAACTCTTGAGTTGCTGTATTAAGAGGTATACCCCTAGCTTATGGCAGATCTGCACGCCAGCAGCTTCTGCTGTCAACTAGCAGTTTCCGCAAACATCCTTGCCTTACAAGGGTCGTTGCTCAGGGTCAGAGCCTCCGGTCAGATATCAGCTCCAAACGAGGCTGGGAATAATCCCTACCTGAAACCCAGTTGGTGTGGACCAGGGAAGGCACACTAGTGCCCCTGCAGATGGGCCTGCCTTCAGGCGTTTCATTTTTTAAAAATGGGAAGTTGCATGCCACGAACCCACAGGGACTCCCTCTGGTATCTGTTTTTTTCTGCCCCTGGGAATGCCTTCAGGCAGGCGTTAGAAAATAAAGATAACAGGTGTCTGCCGCTGGGAGAGGGCTTTGCGTAAAAGTTGGCTGCTTGCTGAGGAACGGGACGGTGGGAAGCTGAAAGTGGCAGAGCATCCTGAGATTCGGAGGGGAGGCTGTTGCAATGGCGTCTAGCACAAGGCATTGAGGGTTGGAGGCACTTACTCTAAGAGGCAAGCTTTCGGTCTTGCAGCAGTGCTGTGCGGTATGCAGGCCCGTCGATTCTAAAGCACCTCCGTTGACCCTACGAGAGAAATTCTCCAAGAGAATAAATTCTGTTTCTCCTGTGCCCCAAAGCTGAATAATAGTGACCTTGCCCAGAACAAAGGGCCCTTGGCCTAGGTGGCATCACTTAAGGAAGTCCCCAGGAGAGTTTTGGCTTTATTCACTGTTTTCTCTTGGAGTTGCACTTAAATCATGTGTAGAAAAGCTTATATCACAAGATGAATCAAGGAACTCTGTATTTGTGGGGCTGAGAGGGGGCATCGGCCACACGGTTCTTCCATGAAGAATTGATCATTTTTTTAAAAAAACAACAGCAGCATAGCACGGAAGGAAAAATGAATGACAGTTTAGCTGTGATGTTGCTTTGTTGCAGAAAAGCAACAGACCCCCCCCCCCTTCAAATATACCAACTTGCGCAGTCCAGGAAAAAAAATAGCTAGAACTGCTGGTAATAATTCCTCGTGCCCCATTCCGATCTGCTAGATAGTTTTTGGAGTTTTGCTCTTCTGGTATAAATTTTTAGCACTTCCATCATCCTACGCTCCAAGCCTGTTCCTCTGCAGTAAATGGTTAGAAGAACATGGAGGACTTCATTCGAGCGCTTCGCTTTGCCTTCTGTAGCGAGTGGGTAGGTGCTGACCACTCCAAGGAAGACGGGACAATTTGGAACGGTAGGCACAAATTCAGGGTAAGCAATGGGAGATGAACTTCTGCTGGTCAAGAAGGAACGAGAGGGGTGGGGTTTCTCAGGACCCTCTGCGCTGCACCCAAATTGTTGTCTGATGCTTAGAATTACAGTACGCAAGTGTGGGGCTCTCACAAAACCGATTGAGAAAGAAGCGAGCAGGGATCCAACTGGCAGGAGATGGGGGGAAATCAAGATTTGGCACGCTCGGGCGGCTGGTCTGGGAACATCTTTGGCTTTGATGGGATTGCTGAGAGTAGACAAGCTAAATCAGGAATTGTCAGAGACCTTCCAGATTTTCCTGAATTACACCTCCTGGTATCTCTCACCCTCAATCCTGAGGCCTGGGGGTGCTGGGGGTCATGAGTGAAAGGCACGCGCTCTCTCAATCTCCACCCAGCCTTTTAGAGAGCTTCAGGCTGCATTCTGGGTGGAGCGCAGCCAAAATGCACGTTAGCTGTTCTGCCCAAGCCATTGCCCACTTCCAAAATCCAGAGCTGAATTGCTTCAGCCTGTGTTGCTTCAAGACAGCAAAAGCTATCCTAACTGGCTTTGCAGCTGTTGCCTGGAAAGGCCCCCTTTTATTCCTCAGCCGAGTATTATGCAGACCAATCTCTGCCACCCTCTTGCAGGCCTACTGCTGGTAGACCTCACAGCTTAGAAACTGCAGTGGGCTAGACCTGTTTTTAACAGTAGCCTGAAGGTGTGTTTTGAGGATAGCATGAAGAAAGATCCATCTATAATCTAACACGCCCATATTCGTGGCAAACTCACTTCAGGGGTCGCCTGTACTTTTCCCTCTCCAAAATGACGACTCCTGGGTTCTTCCTTCTACCATTCCAGTTTCCTAAATGGCTGGGATGGTCCGTTTTTTGTAGCTGGCCGTGTTCTCATCACCTCCAAGTTTTGCTACCAGGAACATTGATTATGACGACCTTGTGACTGTGTTGGAACTTTGTCTCCGTCGCTTGTGAAAAAGGTGTTTTGCATCAATATGAAATGTGGTTTTTATATTATATATATATTATATATATATAAGCACTAAGTTTTGTAAAACAGGTTATGGAAAAAAATCCTTTTAAAAGTTCTGCTATTTTAAAACGCAACTCCAAACGTTCCTTTCTTTCCTCTTTAAAAGCTTTCGGGGCTCTAGTTTTCAATTTCGTAGGCCTGAAAAAGCTGGAGCGGGTGGATCCGATTTTGCAGTGGGAGGCTGAGCGCTAGGACCGGGAGATCCTCCGGTGACCATTTTCAAGGGGAACGAGGATGCTCCTCATTCAGGGAAGCCAGAGTTGGAACCCCAGCCATCTCCAGTGAGGAGAGTGGGAATCCACCTATGGGAGACTAATTGCCCAGTTATGGCGGACAAATGCTTTGGATTAAAAATTATAAGGCTTTTGCAGCTTTGCAGCCCAGCCTTTCTCCCTGGTGCTCCAGCCAAGGTGATCTCTTATCAACCAAGGTGATCTCTTATCTTTGCAGCGTTCTTCTGTTACAGCAACTTCTCCCAATATTGAGCGGATTTCTAGCCAGTGGATGGAGCCCTCTGGCTCACCCACGGGCCATCTTTGGCATCTGCAACGAAGGCCTCGTTTCCCTTGCCTTAGACAAACACAGCATTAAGGAAGAACAGTAAACGGGCTGGTCCTTGCTTAGCACCAGCCATCCCCCAAACAGGGAATTTTTTTTTTTTTGGCAATTCCCCAAAGTGTATCTTGGAATTAACCGTTCCTCATTCAATTGCTCTTGAGCTGACACTGCTGTGCAATTAAAAATAAAGGAGGCAATTATGCCTTGAATGCACAACAGCAGATTTGGGGTGGGGGTGGTGGAAGGACAGGACCCTAAATCTAGATAGTTTCACTCTGACAGGGGAGTGCAGAGTTGCCTTGAAGATACCTTCCTGGGTTTTTTTTGGGGGGGGGGACCAAAGATTCTGGATCACCGAGTGCTCCTTTATTAAATGCCACATCAAAGAACAATTTAGATCCTTCCCCTCTGTAAGCCTCAAGCCCCAGATCTTCCAGGGCCTGGAGGCACCCATATTTCCCAGCACCACGATCCCATAAAGCACATCGAATGCAAGAACTTTGTTGGTAATTCTTGTTTTTGCCATCTACGTACATTCTTTTTTTTTTAAAAAAAAGAAAAGTCTGCCGGGCGCAAAGAAGTCAGTTCACGGTAGTCAAACACAGCAGTGACAGGACAGATGTAAGCACGGAGCTGAAGGCTTCCGGTGCAGGAAAAGGCTTTTTAAAAAGGGTATTTTGGGGGAGGGAGGGGGTGCATGGGTGTTTGTGAAGAGGAGGGAGAAGCCAAATGCTTAGCCATCTCCTTGGGAGCGGATGGTGGCATAAAAGCACATTGGGAACGCATGCAGCTCTCGACGAGTGGGGGTTCCTAGTGCCTGAGTGGCACCCGCCCAAGAGCCAGCCTGCCTTCTGCCCGCTGGTGCTGTTCTCTGTGGAAAACATGTGGCATGGCCACCCCCGAAGGGATGCTCTTCCCCAAGCGAGATTTTGAAAAAAGCCAGAGTGCTTCTTGGGTTGACAGGCTGAGGTTCTCCCCTTGCAGAGTCTGTGCCCTCCCAATTCTAAACAGCAACCCGAGAAGCAGTTTGCAGAACGTGGGTTGGAAAAGATGGTTGTGGGAAGCAACCAGGATGGGAGGGGGGAGAAACTCTGGGGCAGCCTCTAGCAGGGAAGGCAACCCCTTCCTGTTCAGCTGCCAATTTCTTTCTGGGCTCTTCCCCCCCCACCTCAACAGGAGGGGAGCTGGTCAGTTCCAGATCAACCCCCCTACTTCCCTACCTATAAGCACAATCCCCACTTTTCACCAGAATGGAAGGCAGCAATGCAATTGCAACAGATCTGTGGGAACAAATGTTTGCTTCTCTCTCCCCCCCCCAGCCACGTCTATGATGACAAGCATCTTTGCTCCAACTCGCTCTTCCCACTTTCCTGAATCTAAATTTAGCCCGTGCTTCTGAATCTGAAGCCAGAATCCCTGCTAAGGCTACTGCCCGACGAGACGGCGACTGTCTTGGATTTAGGAAGGAAAAAGGACTAGGCCAGGACTCTGAAGGGAGAAGGAGTCGGGCCCCTTGCCATCTGCGAGGGCTAGGATGATGGTGTGATGAGAAGGGAGGGTTCTGGATTATTATTATTTTTTTTTGTAGAACAGCCATTCATACAGCAGTTGCAGACATTTTCATTTCAGGACCGCACAGAAAAAAATACAACTTTCGGGTGTGTGATTGGGAGGGAAGGAGGAAAACAGAAGATGAGCTAGAACAGAGAGGGGGGTGAAGTCAGGATGAGATGGAGAATTCCCCATCCATTTCTACTGGTGGGGTAGGGGGTGGCGGGAAGGAAAAAAAAA